GTTTTCTTTAGTTCTAATTTTTCCAAAACATCTGCCTTTTCTTTCAAAAATAATTTAAATTCATCTAAAGTTGGTAAACTATTTTTTATTTTGTATTCTTCCCACTCCCATTCTGATTTTTTATCTAATTTGGCTGCTAAATGGAAAATTAATATAACATCCCAATGATCTGTGGGCCAACCTAACGAATCTAAGGCTCTTCTATGCATAGATAAATTGTCTAACATTTTACGCAAATCCACTGCCGATTCTTGCGACAATGTAGGTCCACCAAACAGAGATTTTAAATAATTATATACCAACAAACGTTGATTATCATAGGGCTCACAAAGAAGATCCCATGCAATTTTGTAATTTTCAGCGGAAAATTCGAGAGAATGTATCACTTGCTTTGCTTCACCCTGTAGATGAGCACGTACGTAATGAAATTTTTCAATATCATTTAAGTCGGATCGTTTATGCACTAGTGAGAGAAATGTGTCACGAAACTCTACCCAAGACTCGTAAGAACCGTCGAAATTGGGTAATTTTATTTGTGGTAGAGCAACGCGACACAACGATATAGGAGAATTTTTGCGGTTACATTCGGTTGTGCTAGTATTGCTGCATCTGCGCGAGACCGTGTTTCAAGGATGTATTTTACAATAGCTGTTAATCTACAATGTATCGTTTCAAAACAATCCTGTTCGGAAAGTTGTTCTTCAATATTTCCATGCAAACTTTCTATTTTATCTTGAATGCTATTAAATTCTATTGAAAGATCTTCAAGTTTTTATACTCTAACTTCTAATTCGGTTAAAAGTAACCTATCAACTGTTGTAATATCACAATTAGAAATTGTTTGCAAAACACCATCTAAATATTTTTCGAAAGACGTGAGGCGGCCTTTGACCACGCCTCTTTTTCTCACTAATTGTTTTAATTCTTCGGCCATTTTAACAAATTGTACGAAACTTGTGTATCAACAAATAGAGACTACAATAAGAAAGAATAACAAGGACTGGACTCACCCTTTCTGCTTTTTGCTTCGAATGTCGAATGTACAATGCTTTGTTTGACGCCGCTATAACGGTCTTATACTTCTTTTATACCTAATCCGGCTCGCTCGAAGGAACCAAAATGTTTAAAAATGAAGGACCATCTCTGTCTTGAGACAGAGAAACGAAACAATCGCTGGTTTGTTTTACATTTAATTTGTATATTTTTACTTTGTACAGTTAAAGAATTGCCATACATATGCCTCGTTCTCTCATCAGACACACACTGTGCCTGCGGGGTGGCCGAATCATTGCGTTATGCCACAAGTGGACACAATATAGGATACAATATTTCTCTTTTTTTAGACATATTATTCTACAAATACACTTTCTTCAGTCTTGTCTTCTGTTGTAACGTTTTCTAGTGCTTTGTTAAGATGGCGTTGTACATCAGCCAATTTAAATGATCTATTTTCTAGAGCCACTTCTCCTTTAACTTGTGCCTAAATTAACTTGATTGGATTTACTTCATAATGATAGGGGGGCAATCTTAGTATGGTGATTCCACGCCTTAGTGCTATTTCATCCACAGCGAGATTCTTATATTTATGGGCATGTAGTTTCACAAGCTGAAGCAATTCTGCTTTTAAGCTGGTTTCATCATAAAGAACACCTTTCCCGTCCCGTAATCATTCTTGAATCCTTACCTTCCTCCATAACTGTTGTGGCGATAATTGGCATTTTCGACTACGATAAGAGGCATTATCCATAACGACGACAGATCCTGTTTCCAAATTTTCAATAATTTGTCCAAACCACTTCTCATACACCTCTGCATTCATCTCTTCGTTTCAGTCTCCCGTTTTCTTTGATTGAATTATTAATTCACCATTTAAAACAAATCCGTCTTCACTTCCTAAATGGGTAATTATCAAACGGCGACCTTTTCCAGATGGCATTTTTAAGCCCTTTGACCAGCCTTCAATAGCTGCTTGTCACGTTTTCATCCTGCCATACTTTTTTCACCGTGTGCCCCTCGTTGACCCATGTTTCATTTGTATAATAAATTGTCTTTCCTTGCTTCTGAAACTCTTTAATTTTCCTGAGATATTCTCTTCTCCAACATATTATTTCATGTTTCTCAATAAGAATACTCTTCCTATCTATTTTCCCATACGTAAAATTCATACCATGTAACACTTTCCGCAATGCTTTATTACTCATTTTGGAGATTATGTCGTTTTATCTAACAGCTGACATCACTTTCTGTAATATTAGTAATTCATTTTTCAGGTTTTGGTGGTAGTACTTCTCCATGCACTTTTTGTTCTCTAAGAATTTTATATACATTAGCCTTTGAAGCTCCTGTATAATCCGTGCACATATCTGTTAATTCTTGTTTTGAACGCCCTGGGTGATCTCTTTGCAGGCAATGAAATACACATAAAATAATTTTCTTTTCACTTATCGTTCGGAGTGGCCGCCCTTTTTGTACCTGTCGATGTTGACGTTCCTGGCACACCTTCCATCGTTGAATAATTTATTTCACTTTACCACTACAGAGATAGACCGTTAATAAAACTAACAATAAAAAATACGCGCGAATTTACATACACAGACGACAATGCCGTTAAAAGGATTTCACTGAACTGCCGGTAGTGAGCCAGCAACAAAGATAAATTGGCATATAAATAACAAACACTCGGGCATAAGCAACATGTTTTTATAGTAAAACGCATTTAACATAGGTAGATGTAGCAAATTATTTATGCCTACAATTTTATTCGTTTAATGCCAAGAACTTGCCGTATTTTTTCTTTAAATAATGTTATATTTTAATAGTACCGAATTATTTTAAAAGATAGGGAAATGTATGAATTTAATGTGACAACAATGTTTCTCGCTTGTAGTGGACTTTGTCCTATTCAAACATATTGGTTAGAATATAGCTGAAACTGAAGATTTTTTGTTTAAATTTCGCTTATAATTTATTAACCTCCAGGCATCTAGAGATATATTATCCGATTGCCTGATAAAGCCATCATACAACTATCTTTGTTCTTGTATTCCTTACAAACTGATTCCCAACCGATTTCGAATTTTGTGCTCTGTGAACAGATTAAAAATACTGAAGTGAATCGCGACTGATGACCATAACCTTTAAATATTTATTTATTTCAAATTTATGTTTACGACTTATTTTGAACAGATTCATCGTCTGTTTGTTACTTCGGTTTTATATTATAATTAAACGTATTAAAATGGTTAATTATGTTATTCTCTTGTACTTGACACCATAGAACAGAGCTAGTTCAAGAGTGCGCATAGTGGGCATGTCCGAAACCGAAAATTTGTTGAGAGTCAGCGGATTATTTTGATGGTTGGAAACCACTCCACAACTCATAAGTTTTATTCTGCGAATATCAAATTTTTAGTAAGTGTCATGGATTATCGCTGTGCGAACATTTTTCACCTAACACGTGTTTTACAGTTGCTGATAGTTTCTAACTGTTGTACGAACAAAGCTAATATTGTATGTAGATACGTTATTAATTATTATAAATATTTTTTTTATCAACTGCTTCACAGCGAAACTAATGAAAAATAATTTGGTGAAAACAAATCGCTTTTCTATGACAACGATGTGTTATTCTAGTCACCATATTTTTTTTACAAAGCGCCAAAATAAAAAAAAAGTTAAAAAAATTTTTAAATTGATTACGTATTAACCAATATCTATACAATTCGGCCAACCTGATCAGTTTCTCGTCCCGAGAAATAAAAGAACGAGTTATCTTGTTTTTGTGTAATCAAAACTCTAATATATGTTGCACATTAATACCCCAAAGAAAATAAAATAAAAATGTCTATAATAATACAAACTAGAGGTTTCACATAATTTCAACTTAAATTTAAACTAATACAGAATAGACGGTCATTAAACTCGTAGAGTGGTTCACTTTACGTCTGAAAAGCCATCGGTATCGTCGGTACTTGAAGGGTTTCAGCTTTTCTGATAGATATACACCTACATAAACCCCTCGTCCTCCTCGAAAATTTCCTTTTAAGTCCATGACCACTATTCGATCATGGTTTAACAGCTTGGTGATCACAAACGGACCATCATATTTGGGAAGCTTACGACTAGCTCCATCGTTACTGCTACGTTCACGTCGAATGACTAAGTCTCCTATATAATATATTTTTTGTTTAGCACGTTTGCGATCATATTTTTTTTTATCCACCCTTTGCTGGCGTCGTATACGTTGCGACGCACGTTCACGTATTTGTTTCAATTGTTCCATGCGCTGGGAACATTTTCCATGAGGCGCCATTATGACATTTTTTTTCGTAGGAAGACGTTCTCCCTTAGTATGTACTTCGTCGACGGTAGCGTCGTCTACGCGGCCTTTAAAATATTAGAAATCATAATCTTTAAACAAGAAGACAAACTATTCTGTATGCTGCACCCTGTACCTGAGTTACTTCTGAACAACACATTGTCATGATAACAGAGAGCCACCCTAGTGAGGAGGTCCTCACTGAAAACCCAAACACAGATAAGCAAACTCTATCTGTTTTACCATTTACAAAGTTATTCTTTTTTAAGTTTAAAGCATTTCAATATGTGAACAGCATGTTACAGATCTACTGATATTGTTTTTTATTAGTGTAATTTGACTTAAACAGATGTATTGTACCATAAAGTTCGTCGCAGTTTTTTATTTGCTCTAATAGCTTTCAATGATCATTTTAGGGTTACCCTGTCATGGTGTTCCAAAAAATTTTATATTTACCAACCTGGCTTGGAATGCACCAGGCGCGGGGCTCAGGCTGCGCTTAGCACGACCCAAATGAATACCGACTTGCCTATTTTTCTAGTTTCACCGTTAGAATAGAACTACTTTATTAAGAACTTATTTTTTAATTAATGTTTTTGTCAATTTTTCTAATCACTAACCTTCTACTAGAAAAATTAAGAAACCCTGTCCTATATTTGCATATAAAATAATTTTAGGTTCGTATGATGGACGAAAGATCAGGTGAAACTTCACGTAAATTATGTGGACATGGTGGTGCTATTTATGCAGTTTCATTTTCTCCAGACCGAATGTTGTTGTTAAGTTGTTCAGAAGATACAACCATCCGATTATGGAGTCTTCAGATTTGGTCATGTCTGGTTGTATATAAAGGACATATGTTTCCTGTTTGGGATGTCAAATTTTCACCTTTAGGATATTATTTTGCTTCTGCTTCATATGATAGAACTGCCAGACTATGGGCAACTGATCACTACCAACCCTTACGACTGTTTACAGGACATTTCTCTGATATCAATGTAAGTAATTAATTAGGCATGTTTTATTCGATAACTGCAAGTCATCAGTTATTGTTGAACCTTTTGAACAGAGTGTCCCTTAATTAATACGACACAGCAAAACTACAGATTTAACTACTGCTACTTTATTCAAAAGATGGTAACCAAGATAAAGGGTGACGACGTCTTATTTATTTCTTTTATATTCTCCGATATTGTACAGGGTGATTCATTAACAATGGGAAAGTCGAAAGCTGAAGATACTACACGTGAAATGGTGACCATTGGCGCAAACATGCTTTATCCGAAAGTTGATAGTTTCTGAAATACAGGGTGTTGAAAGTTAAAATTTTAAATCGTTTTTTTTGCGATTATTCTGAAAATATGTAGGTTAGGAACTTGAAAATTTGTAGAACTATATTTTTTTAGGCGACGAATAAGATGAGTGTTGTAATTTCAGCATTGCTAGTAGAGGGCGCCACTTACGACCAATTTTACCGAAAATTTAGTTAATAACTTTTTACGCTGTATATTTAACATGAAACCTGATTCAAAACCTGAAAGAGCTATAATTTTTCCATTAATTATGTACTCTTGTTTCATTTCGGTATCTCGATCCGTTTTCGAGAAAAATCGATTTAACGAACACTATGTTTTGATAATATGAGAAATTAAAAGCGAAACAAACCAAATGTTTCTTCGTGTTATTACAACAATTAACAATAAAACAAATAAAATAGGTAATTATGATTTAAAGTAATTGTTCGAAGAATGCACCGTTGACACTGTTACACTTTACACAACGTTTTCTGAGATATCTTCAGGTTTGGAACAACATATTGGGATTGCGTCTGACTTCGTTGGCAGCGATTTGTATTCTTTGCCACAACTCTTCACATGAGCCAATAGATTCTTTGTAAAGTATATCTTTCATTCGAGACCAAATATAAAAATCATAATAATTGAAGTCCTAACCTACATATTTTCAGAATAATCGCAAAAAAAACGATTTAAAATTTTAACTTTCAACTATTAGTATTTCAGAAACTATCAACTTTCGGATAAAGCATGTTTGCACCAATGGTCACTATTTCACGTGTAGTATCTTCAGCTTTCGACTTTCCCATTGTTAAGGAATCACCCTGTATAAATAAATTGAAATAACGGCAAGAAATTAAGTATACTGTGGTTTTTGAAGGCGACAAATTCATATACACAGTTTTGACGTCACTAGTAGAGAGCGATACCTATGGTACATCGCAAAACATTTGTGAAGATTAGTGTATCCATTTGACTGTCGAAACCATAGATACTACATTTTTTGTATAAAAAAGTCATTGAATTCGTTAGGACTTAGGGGTAACCATTTTCGAGATAATCGCATTTAACTTGTTAAATGTGGCAGTTAAAATAACATTGAAAGTACAATGGCTTCTTCGGTTGTTATGCCGTGGCCTTGTGCATCTATCTGCTCACCCCCAGTTACAGTTATCTTGCACTTCCTTAGCATTAGCTAGGAATCTTTGACCTGTACATGTTATCCTTGCGATTGCTATTAGAACCGCCCGCCCTCATGTTCATTTTGGTTATTGTTGGTTCTAAAACCACTGCAGTAAGAATTGCTCCTTTGACAATAGTGATCCTTTAAGACATTCCTTAGTGGCCTCAGAAACTGATCACGTTCAATGCTTCGAAAACGTTTCGCCGTCTTCACTCCCGCCATCTTCAGTAGTGACTCTGCAATTGTTTCGCCGTGACTAAGGCTGCTTGCAAACTCCGTCACCATTGTTTTAGCGTCGGTGTGGCGCTCGCATCTAGACCTGCGCAGTATATGGTGGGAGTGGGGCAGGAGGTCTCGCTTGAATTGCCGTTGACGTTGGTACCTCGGCACGTGCCTCTAATCCTGTGGAGTTAGATAGAGGGCGTCGTTTAGTGTACGCGCCATCACCGCTGCGTGCGCATCTAAGCCTACATAGTGCAGTACAATAAGAATTCAGTAGGAGGTGCTGCAGGCCTAGATACATACGCACCTACACTAAATGGTAAGTAGGGATTTATTATTTGTTGTAGTTGTACTTTAATTTCTTACATCTGCAAAATATTTTTAAAGTCTGAAAAATCGTTAACTATCTAAGAAAAACAGATAAATAAATACATATTTATTTTAAATCACAAAAATAACAGAAGCAGTTAATAAGTAAATATGTATTTTCATTAATAAACGATGAAACTGATTTCCATTCATCTCAATACACTTGATTACTTGTTTACTGAAAGACCTTCTAATTTTAAAAAGTAACTTCGTTTTGAGGCAACTCCACAGCATTGTCAATTATCGGCCATAATTCTTCTCAGTGATTCACTGCTTCATCATACACATTCTAGCAGATTCTGCACATTCATGAAGTGATACAGATAATGTGTCACTTAGTGATAAAAGTTCTGCGATTAGTTGTATTGCCTACTTCAATTTCCACAGCAACGTGTCTTGTGTTTAGTCCAGGGTTTTCAGCTATGCGAACCAGAATTTCTCCCTGCTCGAGGGTTAGACCGAAAGGAATTCTCCCAATCTGTAGTAAATATTTCAGAAATATCACACATTTTAAAATGTTGCTGTCTTTGATTTGGATTGTACAATATGTATTTTCCAAATGCCAAATATGCACACCATATCCTGCATCTCCTCGTTAGAAAACAAATTATGTCTCGGTATTTTGTAATTAATTCAAAATAATTTCAATAATTACATATTTAGAAACACCCACAATGTTCACAAACAACAGACATGTTAGACAGTAAATAAATTCGTAGCATCTCTTATTGTAATTGTTTCGATAAAAAAACTGGGGTCTACGAATTAGAACTTAAATGTTCGTACTTTTTGTTAGTTGCATTAGAAATTTCAAATGCAAATCTCGAAAAAATTGTTACTCCTAGTCAGAGCTGGGAGTATTTTGACAAAAAAGATACCAAATAGTATTTTAAATAATAGTATTTTGTAATCAAAATACTTTTGTTATAACCCCAAAAATATTTTGTATTTCAAATATTTTAATAGTAGTTTAAGTATTTTGTATTTTGTATTTTAAAAAAGTATTTAAAATCTTTTAAAAGTAATTTAAATACTCTTTGAGTATTTAAATTACTCGAAGTATTTAAAATACCCAAAATACCTACAAAAACAAATACTTTTTGCCTGTTACGACTGGCGACTGGTACAAAACGTGCTAAAAAAATTACCCACCTGCACGCCTGGATTTACATAGCGCACTGTACTCTGCATTCTGCAATGTGCATTGTTTTATTTTTATTCTGTCCACTACCTTTTAGGTCACTATCATCACTACTCAAGTCACTAGTCTCATCAAAATTTAAAATTAATTTTTTTTATAATTACCTATTCTGAGAAAAACTAATAAAACGTGTGAATTAAATATTCTGCATCTCAGTAATCCACTCATGTCTAATTTTGTTTTTAATTTTTTGATTTTGAAATCGGGCTTGCCCTGCACATATATTATAATATATTTTTTTTAAATCACATCTTAAGAGTTTCAGATTTAATATTTCTGAAAAATATTTTGAATAGTGTTAATGAATATTTTCAATATACCGGGTGTTTCAGAGTTGAAGTGATAAAAGCCTAGGGGAGATTCCGCTCAGTAAAATATGTAGAAAAATTAATATGAACATGGGTCCGCAAGTGCTTTATTTCCGAGATATAGGGTGCTAATTTTTTTTAAATTTACTTTTCTTAAAAAATGTTTGCCGACTTGATTAAAATTTTTACGGTTTGCTAAAACAATTATCATACATCAACTGGATCAATTAAATTTGATCCAGAATTTTCAAAGGCGTACTCAGCGAGTAAGTCATTTTTTCTTTGTAGGTTCTCGAAAACGAAGCGAGATACTAAAAAGAGTTAAGAGACACAAATGTACTATTTATAGTGGGCTTATATTTCTACAAAAAAACGACTTACTCGCTGAGTACGCCCCTGAAAATTCTGGAACAAAACTAATTGGTCCAGTAAACCGTTAAATTTTCATACAAATCGGCTAAAGCTTTTTTTTAAACTCAATTTAAAAAAAAATATCACCCTGTATCTCGGAAATGAAGGACTTGCGCACCCATGTTCATATGAACTTTTTATACATTTTGCTGAGCGGAATCTCCCCTAGGCTTTTTTTAATTCAACTCTGAAACACTTGGTATTTAATACACAACATACTTAAAATACTATTTTAAATACTAAGTAATTTATATTTAAAATACTTTGCCAAAGTATTTTGTTCTTAAGTATTTTAAAATACTTTCGTACTAGTATTTTGTAATTTGTATTTTAAATACATTTTGAAAGTATTTTGCCCAGCTCTATTCCTAGTGATATCAATAAGGTATAACTTTCTTACGTAAAAAATAATTTTAGGTTCGTATGATGGACGAAAGATAATTAAATCGATAGACTAAGCCACAAAAAAGTTCTGCTATTTACGCAATATGACGTAGGTGGCATCCTCTATTAGTGACAACAAAACTAAGAATGAATTTGAATTTGTGGCTCAAAAAATCCCCGATTCCATAATTTCGTGATGTTATTTCAATTTATTTAGATATTATTGAAAAAAATAAAAGAAATAAATAAACTTTGACACCCTGGATCTTAGTTATTATCAATTTTTAAATAATGGTGCAAGTTTGGTTAAATCTTAGTATTTCATTATGAGAAATCTGGTTTTGCTGTATATCATTAATTAACGGACACTCGTATTCATGTGTATGATATACATGTATAGTATATAAATTAGAATAGTGTAGCGAAATTCTGCCCAGTGTGCTGTTCTTATTCATTTGTTTACTTTTTTTTATGGCCTAAATGATTTGGGACTGAGAGGGACTATACCTCTTTGTCCTGCCTAATCGCTCTAGACCTGGACAGCCTCGTGAAAGTGGGCCCCATCCGTCGTCGACCCCGACCACAAATGTAGGCGGTGTAGGTGCTTTGTGCGACACTCCTCTTGCCTGGCTGACATGGAGCCTATTCTGGCGTTCTTCCTCTCTTCTCGCTTCTTTCTTTGCCGACTTGTAGTCATCGTCGCGGGCGTGTGGGGCGGTGCCACTCACTCCCTGGGGGTGAGTTTTTAGGGGTAACGTAGCTAAGGGTACATGCGACCATCGAGCCAAATGACTCAGTGGGCTTGTGCGGGGTAGGGTGCCTTTGGGTGGGACGGGTTTTGTTATTTTATCTTCTTTGTTGTTTTTGGTGCTGGCTGTTCCTGAAACCTAATGGTCCTAGAATACTAGATCGTTTGTGTTTGTTTATCGCATTGGGTATGTTGTCAACAGCTTGCCTGAGGAAAGGATTGTCATGTCTCGCGCGACGTTATTTTTGGCGATGTTGATGGACCGAGGGGGACTATCCCTCTTTGTCCTGCCTCATCGCTGTAGGCTCGTGAACGTAGGCCTCATTATCACGAGCGTGGCCGGTGTAGGCGCTTTAAGGGACCTCCTCTTGTCCTGGCTGACCTCACTGGCAGGGGGCCTCCTCTTACATTCTTCTTGTCAGTGGACTGATGCGGGAAGAATACGTTAGGGTAGCGCGAGGACATGTTTTTGTCAATTGTCCCTTCTTGCATTCTTGGTGCTGGCTAATCCTAAAAGTTAAGGGGTAAGCTTGGGGGAGGGGGGTAGAGATGTTGGGGTAGTCACCCCGGGTCGAAAAGTTGGTGTCTAGATCGTTTGAGTTTGGCTGTAGCATTGGATATGTAGTCAACGGCTTGCCCGAGGAGGAAATTGTGCCTCGCGATCGCGTCAAGGCACTTGTCGTCATTTAATCGTATTGTCTGGGTGGCATTCGTGTAGAATGTCTGCGTCTCTTACATATCAGGGCCAGGCGATTGCCTTGCGTAGGACTATGATCTCTATGCCATTAACTTTAAATGGCTTTTTACCGCATGTCCCCACGCCACGGAGACTTAGGTTATCTGCGGTTGAAGTACCACCTTGATAAGCGTTCGCCTATTCGTTAGGTTAAGGGTGTTGCTAGCCTTAAGTAAGGGATAGAGCTTAGATCCTCCACGATGTGCGGTTTCCACGTAAGTCAGTGGTGCATCGTCACTTCTAAGTATCGCGACTGTCGGCCCCAGGAGATGGGCTCGTGGGATAGTGTCAGTATGTCAAGGTCGTGGGGGATTCTGCATGTCGTGAAGAGGATCGCGGTACTTTTGTCGGGGTTAATTTTGATTTTCCACCAGGTTTCAAGTTGGTCTAATGTGTTTTGGAGGAGGGTAGTGAATAGTCCTGCGTTCGTGGATTGTGCGGTTATAGTCGTGTCATCGGCGTATAAGTAAATTTGTGTTTGGGGGCTGTGGTATGACTGAGTTTTATATGGTGTAGAGCTATGGGGATAGGAGGGTGCTTTGAGGGATGCCCGGTTCCATGGCTCGCATTGTGAAGGTGTGATTTAAATGCCAAATTTTCGGTGATGGAGGTAGAACTTGATGAGTTTGGTAAAGCATATGGGATATTGATTTGTGAGCATTTTCATCAGTAGGCCTTTATGCCAAACCGTATCGAACGCTTTTGCGACATCGAAGAAGACGGCTCCAGTGAACTGTCTCCTGTTGAACGCCGCCGTGATACTCTCGTCATGGAAGTCTCCTATCCAAAAATTACCTAAATGGTTGTTGAGTTCATAATAATAACCTTGAAGGTCAGTTACATAATTTTCAATGAGACCCTCTGTTTTTTACCCTGGGAATGGATCCGGCAGAAAATTTTACATCTAGATGTAATCTCAACTTTGACCTTTGATCGTTCTAAGTCAAGACCACAGCGGGTTCAAATGATTCGTCACCCCCTGAAGCAACCTCGGAATAAGGTGTTTGCCACAATAGTCGATGGGATTTTCATCACGCTATTCAATAATATGATCTTGAATTTGATCTTGACCTTCAAGGTCATTTGTAGTTCGACTACTGAAATTGAACTTGATGACCTCTAGAACTATTTTTAAGGATGTTGGGGATCATAGATCGTTGATCTTGAATTTAATCTTTTAGGTCATTTGAAGGTTGACTTTGTTTCTTTTTAAACCGATATCTGTATTTTTGAGGCTGGATCCTAGAAAAGCGGTAAATTCTACACCCACAAAGTAATAAGATTTCAAATTAAAAGTTCAAGATCAAATCAAAAGCTAACTCTGGAATAATAACGAAATAACCTCGTAATTCAATGATCCACAACTAGTGGTTTGACATTTCAAATGTTTTTTAATTTTGAGTTAGGTAATTTTTAGATTGGAGGCTTCACTGACGAGATATTAAAGTGTATTGGTTAAAATGGGACACGTGGTATACCTCAAAATGGCATTTCCTTTCAGAAAAAAAAAAACATTTGTTAGTTTCAACATAAATCAGGCCTGATTTAATCTAGCAAGTACAATTTCAAGCAGAGTTATATGTTCTTCAAAAGTATTGGAAAGGATAAGCAGATCATCTACATAGATTAAAAATGTTTTAAACCTTTATTGAAAAATCATATTCAAGCAATGAGCAAAAGTACTAACACTAGTCGACAAACCAGATGGCAATGTGCAAAACAGTAAGTCATGCCACCATATTTGAAACCCATATATTTTTGTGGTTTCACAGATAAGGGAATCTGTCGATACATGAATTAAAATCTAACAAAACAAAACAATCTAACAGTCAACTAATTTGTTATAAACAAAAATAATTTATGGCAACAATTTCCTTTATTTTAAATTCATTCACAATCTTAATTGTTCTCCATTTAACTCTTTAATTCTAACTAACTTATCCTTATTTTTTATTCCTATATCGAACTACTATGTTTATATAAAGATGAAAGTAGAAACAATCACTCTATTCAGCGTTTCGGGACACGGACGCTGGCCGTGGCGTTCCAGCCACCGTCGCTCGGTCCGCCTTTCCCGCTATTCATAACATTTCGGCCATCCTGTATATTCCCGTCTTCCGAAATTCCTTGGCCCTGACCTAGAAACGGAACTTAGCGGCAGTATAAATAAAGTTTCGAACATATTTATTGCTGAGGATCCGATTTCAAGTTCAAGAGAATCATTTAGTCAGCATGAATGTGAAAAGATGTGCTGTGCTTTGCCATTCGTCATTTAATAGATCTATATTTCTGTTACATAATCTGTATACCACGCCCGCAATACGCCTTATCATCTGTACGTCAGGGTAGATGCCTGGCCGGGCATCCAATCGACATACTAGCAACAAAGAAAGCACTTATACTTCATTCGTTTGCATTCTTATACTCTGAATACAAGCTCCCTTTAAAGTCGTCCTTCCCGATTATTGCCCCCGATATACAGGGTGTGGCGTGTATGATCTCTAAAATTAAAGTACAGCTTCCTAACGATATTTGTAATAGAAAAGTTTTATACGAAAATGTTCTATTTTTACGTTTTTTTTCCGTAAATTAAAGTTTAATTATGGATCAAAATATTTTCTCAGGAACGGTCCTGTCCGTGTGCTGTACGATGAGTTACGTGCTGTAGACCAGCGCAAACAAATCGTCGTTGAAAGATAGAAAGATACTTCTCAATTTTTTGTAAATTTTTCAATGCGAAAGTACAAACTAAGAAAAATAGATATTAAAAAAACTGATATTTTCTTATTATAATAATTAGTAGTAATTACTATCTTAAATGCATTGTTGTTACTACACGAGTTCGCAAACAAAACCACATCCGTTACATCTAGTTGCCAACTGCGTGCACTAAACAAACTCCATTAAAATACCTATGGAACAAAATGAGAAAATGTTGAAATTGGTCCATATTAGCGCGGATACAGGCATGGCGCCGACGGACGTACCCAATTTTGGCGAATATTTTCCCAAATTCCAGGTATTCCTCTATCGTATCTCGCATCCGCTGAACGCACTGTAGGATTGTATTTGCACATAAGGGATGCCGTTGTGGCCATCGTTTCCGGTACAACCATAGAAAATATAGTACTAACGTAGAATGAAATGTCCGTAATATTGCCAATAAACCGCGAAACAGCGCCACGTAACGTTTTTGGAAGCTTACTACTACTTAACTCCTAATGAGTAGGCAACACTTTACACTTTGTGAACTGATTACAGCGCCATCTATCGTATGCAAACGACTTCTCACATATCTATATATTATTTAAAAAATTTTTAAAGTAAACCCTTATACAAGTAGGAATACTCAAGTGTCAATACTTTTGAGAACAGATTATTTAGTTAAACAGAAAATGTAGCGAAAAACTAATATTCAGTACTTTTCTAATTCACTTCTGCTTTGATAGCTAGAAACTAGAGGTTTCAGAAACGTCATAGTGTTATTGTGCTGTGTATTTGATTTTCCAGTGCGTAACCAGACTTATACATGTAGATGTATATCTCTGGCATCTCACTATTAGGCAAAAGTTTTCAGTATTGACACTTGACTGTCCCTATCGGTACAAGGGTTTATTTTTCCAGTTTTTTTTTCTTCAAACTATGGCAAAATATCCAAATTATAACAAACATTTATAATGCCACAAATAAATACAGACAGTTTCTTCTTATTTATTATTTTATTATATTATAGTATTTTTAAAATTTTCAGATTTGCCAAGATACTTTAAATGGTTTTGATAAGGAAATAAAACATTTTTTCATAATTTTAAGTTTATTTTGTATCTACAAGAAATCCTAATTGATTTATACAGAATGTTGTTAGGCATGTACTAAACGGTAAATATTAATGACTAATATTTTTTGTTAATTAAATTTTGTAAAAGCTCGATATTTTTACACATTCTTGTCTATGTAAAACATGTAAAATATTTATTAATACTTGTAGACTTGTAGTTATAAATGTAGTACATGTAGTACATAAATATACCTATATCATATAATTTCTTGTCCAAAACATTAAGAGAACAAGAAATTTTCTTTAAAGGAAACTACCCCAACCCGAATACTCCGATTTTCAAGATTTTTGTATATGTTGTAGAACATAAAAAATTAAGAGACACGTATTTTTTTATCGGCGGAAAAACATATCTACGGGGTGAAATACATCCTCAAAGTTCGCCCCCCAAAACAGTTTTTTCTAAATATCTGGGGTTCTAATCAATAGTTTGAAATGAAACAAAATGGAAATTACTTATTATAAAAAACAAATATTTCGCAAGTGATTGGGGGTTGCTACTCTTATTTTTTATTGCAGAAAAACTATATTTTTTATTTATAAAAAATTCATATTTACTCATACATAAGAATTAAAAATATGATTTATGTAAACAAATTGACAAAATTAAATTGACCTGTTTCGGGGTTTTCGTTAAAATCTCTGTTTAGGGGATGAACAGCCCCCTAATAAGAAAAATGCCTGTACGATTAGATTAACATTGTAAAATAAATAAATGCATTTTCTCTAATTATACGAATAATTTTTTCTTTTAGCCTAAAACGGATTTAAACGGATGCAAACTACCCCTCATGTTCACCCCCAAAAATATTTCCGTGATAACTCGGGTTCTAATCAGTATTTTGGAATGAAACAAAATGGAAATTACTTATAAAAAAAACATATGTTTGACAAGTGATTCCGTGTTTGGGGGTCGCAATCCTTATTTTTTATTTCGGAAAAACTATAGGTATTTTTCAAAAAATTTTTATATACAGGGTGATTCAGTCATAATGTCATTAATTTTAAGAGCAGATAGAGAAAAATGAGTATAATACGATGGCGGGATTAAAAAAAAAATTAAATGCATATTTAAGCTGAAAAAAAAAAATTTTAATCATTATTTAACCCCTTTTCAGGCTGTTACTGACCGGCTGACGTCAGCCGGCTACGATATGAACAAAGCGACCTAGATGCAATGTTGCCATATTTATATATTTTCGCATATATAAAGACAATAAATAAACGGTTTGCTCACATCAGCCAATAATAATTTAAAATGCTATAAATTATTTTTTTATAATTATGTAAATTGTTATTGTTGCCCAGCAAGAACCTCGAGGAGGTCTGAGCATGACTTGCCAAAAATCATTTTTTATTATTAACAACATTTATTAACATCATTTATCATAGTGATAATTTTTTAATTTGCTGTAAGCCTTCTACTAAAAATTGAAAGTAATTCGGCCCATTCAGATGTACAGGTAGAAAATGCGGCCCAATTAAACGATCGCCATATACCAATGTATGGACATTACCATACATTGACACCCAACCTCCTCTGAAAGCTAAACCGACGAGTAGTGTGCGGGTTTTCATCTGACGAAATGTGACTATTATGGCTGCAAAGAAATTAGCTCTGTTTCACTTTAAATAAAATTTAATATTGAAATTACAAAACCCCAAGAGTTCAAATAATTTAAATTTTATTTCATAACCATTTCAATTTCATTACAGAAATAATGACATAAAAAACCAATACTCACTAGATAAATTATAAAGAGAGGGTGAAATGTATGTAATATTTAAATATTGACTGTAAGTAATAGAAGATAAAAATACAATCGGACGGAGACATATAAACAACTGGGTACGTATTTCCGATCTGGATTAACCTGTGTCGAGGTCAATAATCTTCTAATTTGCACGTGTGCACTTTAGTAGGATCGCATTCCATGCAAAGTAGAGCAAAAAGTTGTCGGTCTTTTATTAAAGGGAAATTGTGTCATCAATGAATAGGGATGATTGTTTTCGAATGTACGGTTATTACAATTTATCATTTTTAATATTATTAACGTTTTCACGTTCTATAATTTATTATGTTAAATAGTACACAGTTTTAGTATTTCAGTTTATTATTCAATATGCAGTTGCGTATAACCAAAGTTTACATAATAAATGTAAACTTTAGTGTAAATCTAAACTTTGGTGTAACCTAGGTAGGTAGGCACTTATTGTTTCTGAGAAAGCAATACTTATGTTTTTTACCTGTTTAAATTGCCAGCACGAATAAAACAGCATTCATCCGTCCAGAGCACTTTGTTAATAAAGTTCTGCTGCACTTAGGAACCATTTGCAAAATTCAAGACGATTGGGGAAATCAGCTGCTTCTAAAGCTTGAACTTTTTGAAAATGTGTTATGCTAACTCCTTTGCTGAAAAAATGCTGGAGATATGGAGGGTGGTAGATTTTAATAAACGCTTTAAATTGTTAGGTAATGGTTTTGTTACCGTGTGTAGTGTATTTTGTATATTCGGGTATTTAGTGTGCCGACTTTTTTTATTTGATAAAATACAGTGTGCCTACAAACCTCTGCTTTATTTATTTTCTTTTAACGAAAGTTGACTTCGAGAAGTCAGGCTTGTTAAAACATTTTGCACT